TTTTTTGATGTACCTCTTTTATGGAAAGAAATATTATTTTTACCTTGAACAATATACGGACACCCTAGCTAAAAGACGAAATTAAATATTCTTTTAAATACCTTGTTTCTTCAGTATGTAGGCAATCATGGTCCTCCACAATTTCCTTTTCTTTATTAAATATCAATTAACATGATAATATAAAAAAGGTAATGTGGTGATTTCCTGTTGCATTCACCGAGGTTTGAATATCAGGGATTTTTTTTTCTTGCAGACTAGTTATCACCCTTAGCTACAGAGCCCCTCTCTATTCTATTGTTTAACCCATACATAGTGAAGGATTCATTCGTTTCCCAAAAATTCCAGACTGGATCGAAATTTAAAGTCAATTCTCCGGTTATTCTTTGCGCGTTATACACACTGCACCCCTGAACAACACACACACACAAATTTAAAAAAGCATTGGGTGGTCATTTGATGAAAAAAATCGCCTAAGGTTACCGTAAGATTGAAACTGAGGTAGCAGATTCAACTGACCTGATTTTCAAAGTTAAACTCTCTACATGTTTTTACTCTTGCTTTTTTTACACGTGTATTGAGCACTTTTTAATACTACTGTACACTGCTCTGATTAAAATCTGACCATTAATCTTATATATATATATATATATATAATTATTTAAAAAAAAAAAATTATAACATAAGTATGTTATAAAATCACTACAAAAAAAAGCCATTTTGTTTCAACACAATCTGTGTCTTATCAAGTGATGATGTTGAAAAAAAAATAAATGGTTTTAAAAGTTTCAGATTAATTAACGATCCTACATTGTTATTGTTAAAAAAGCTAGAATAACCAATCAAAAAAAAAACGAAGTATAGAAAGATTCAAAAGCTTGACAACGAAATCATGTTATAATAGCTATTCAGATCTTTAAATACGTGTAATATTAAAAAATAATTTATACTAACCAATAATTATAAAATTATATGATAAAATTTAATATTAAAATTAAAAAAATGGCAATTTTAAAATCCAAATTCAATCACTATTAAGTTTAAAAACTACAAAATTATTGAGAAAAGAAAAAATATATATGTTTATTCAATTCATTTCTTCATTGAAATTACGTTCGACTAGACGCTACAATATATCCGGTCATTTGACAATACATGCTCTACTTTGTATTGAGCACTCTTTTAAGAATAGTAATTGTTGGTTATTGGAATTCATTCCGTATATACCAATTACATACTTGTATATATATATATATATATATATATATATATATATATATAGATAGATAGATAGATAGATAGATGTCCAAATGTAAAAGAACGAAAAGAATATAAATCCAAACGTTCATAACATTGATTTAAAAAAAGGGCTCAGTACAAGAGTGGAGAAATAGATATTTATTAGGTTGGTGCTAAAACAATGACGTAATAATGCCGTTTTTTGACGTATTTTTTAAGGTCAAAAAAATCATTATTACGTCATTATTTTTGCACCAACCTAATATTATCAACTCTTATATTGGAACATAAAAGTTAACGCGACAAAAATTTTTTTCGACGTCCAAAAACGTCTCGTCAGGCGGCTAACAATTGTGGTCATTACCACTTGCATATTCCAATGTAACAGTTTTATATATATATATATATATATGTGTGTGTGTGTGTGTGTGTGTGTGTATATAAAATGGACAAAGTCCGATTAAATTATTTTTTATTTTTTATGTTTATACATAAAATATTTATTTTTAAATTCTATGTTTATAATAAACATATTAAATAATATTTTATTTTGAATGTCCGAGAAATTTTCATATTATGTAATATTCGTCCTCCGACAGGATTCGAACCTACATTCTATACAGAAATGTCATATAGCCTTACGTGCCTTTAACCGATTTCGCCACAGAGGATCGATCAGTTAACAAAGTCGAATTTACTGCTTTTAAACTTCAATCATCCATGAATCTCTCCCGTACATTCATATCTGCTCATGGCGTATCAGATGTAAACAAATGACGTCACACATTATGAAATGGCGAAATCGGTAAAAGCAAAAAAAATATAGGATACAGGTTCGAATCCTGTCGAAGGACGAATATTTTCTATGAAAATTTCTCGGACATTCAGGCCGGTAAATGTTTTTTAATATTGTTTATTATAAACAGAACATTTACTTAAATATTTGTATGTATAACAAGAATGTTAAACATAAAAATGTCTTAATATATATATATATATATATATATATATATATATATATATATATATATATATATATATATATATATATACAAGTATAGAATTGTTATGTATACGGAATAGATTCCAATAAGCAATTAATACTATTCTTAAAAGAGTTCAATACAGAAGAGCAAATATTATATATATATACTGTCGGATCTATATCCATATATTTGCTTATATATATATATATATATATATATATATATATATATATATATATATATATATATATATATTGTTGCAATTGCCATTTTCTTTAAGACTTATTCTTTGCTTACTCACTCCATTTTTGGAATCCTCAGTATCCTTCTGTAGAACCACGTTTCTGTTGCTTCTAGTTTTCTCTTCATATGCGGTGAAATTGACCATTATTCACTACCATAAAAGGGGATTGACATCCCATAGCTTATCAGTACCGTTCTCTTTGTTTTTAACGACATATTCTTGTTTCTTAGTACGTTAGTTTTTCTCCCATAGAGATATTAGAGCTCGATCAGAGAAGAGATCTGCTGTCTGGATCTGGTCATCTTATTATGTAAAAGTGCACACATAAACTGTAGTATCGTTTGCATAGATATTTACTAAGTATTTCACAATGTTTTTTGTCTAGTTTTATCCGTTGTAGTATTTGCACAATCAATCTGTTCAATATATTTTAAATTTCAAAAATCCTTTTCACCCCGAGCAAGGTAATAATGCCATTAAGACGCAAGCGGTTACAAGAAGTGAAAGAGAATGAGAATACTTTAGTGGAAAGAAAGGATAATGAAAGAACATGGCGTTGCATATAACTTTTTGAAGATTGTAGGTGGCAAGAAACTGGAACAGTGTTCCATAGACGAGAAGTGCGTGAAAAGAAGCAATCAGAATAGAATATACGGTTGTATCTGGTTAGTTCAACAGAAAAACAGTGAGACCTAACTGCCAATCCAGTATTACGCTTAAATTCATGCAGTCGAGCTACCAAAGAGTAAAACCTATTACATTGCATATCCGTCTTTGGTAGTGAGATATCTTAATCTGATTTGTCTTATGTACTCAGTAGTTAACACATTTTTTGAGTATTTCAGGTATCCTGTTGATGAAAGAGGTACTATTAAAAGAATCCCTAACTTTTACGGACCGGTGGATTGGAAGAAATGACTCAATTCTCTGGTGATTTCGTTTACCAGATATAACTCTCCTGGACTTCATACTATGGGGTTATTTTAAAAGATATCGTGTATCGAACAAATATACGGGACATCACTGATCTAAAGCAAAAGATCTCTTATGCCATTGCCAACATTGATGAGGCTATGATACAGAGAACATGGTAAGAAATCGAGTACCATATTGATGTGCTTCGTGTTACTAATAGGGCTTATATAGAAGTGGATTGACAAGAAATCGATATGGGTATGTTAAAAAGTGAAGTTGACTAAAATTCCCTATTAAAAACGATAGTTACTGGCATGCAAAGGAAACAATGGAACACAAAATGCGTTTGTATTCTATATTCCCAGAAAGATCTCCAATGAAGAAGATAACGGAGACAAAAGAAGGAAGCATTCCAGTCACTGTGGTAAACACTAGAACTAATAGATTATGTTATACAGATCAGATACTTATTTATACTATTTACATTGTTCAGACTAAAACAATAACAGAACATTATACTGAACGGATACTTGACAGTACTTACTGCTAAATTCAAAGAGATTTCAAAGCTTCTTCTTCGGATTTTAGATCGCTTATCCTTTGAATTTAGCTCAACTTTCGTTTCATCGAAGAAGAGAACATTTAGTAAAAAAATATCAGGTGAGTCACTTTTGTCGAACAGCACTGTATATATATATATATATATATATATATATATATATATATATATATATATATACTAGCTTAAAAACAGCCCTGTCGGACGGCATTTCAGCTAACTCCTGTGAAGGGCTCTTAATTAGGCCTTCATCACAATAGGTATGGAGGATAGATGCGATAGGCAACAATAAATTACAGAAGAACTCAAAATTGATCGCTGCACTTAAGTGTTGCATTAATATTTAAGCTTATCTTTTAAAAGTTCAACGGTAATTCTTCTTCGGCCACTTAATTTAAAGACAATTTGATGTACGTAGGTCCTTACTTTCCGTACAATCATTTGATTTTATTGAATGGGTGACTTTCGCTGGATTTGGTAATTAATTTCGATTATTCCCAAATTTATTTCCAAGTTATAAAAATTGTTATCGTACAAAAAAATTCGTCGTAAAAAATCACGTAAAAAATGGCAGTAATTTGGGAATCTCAAATTTCAGGATTGCAAGTCCGGATCCGGCCTGGGACGATTTTAATTTACTCTCACAGAGTCTTCCTGATTCCAAAATGGTATGATATGTTGGGCTACGACCTCTAGGGGTAAAGTTGAAAAGGTGTGACACAGTACCACGTTAACATTTGCATATATATATATATATATATATATATATATATATATATATATATATATATATATATATATATATATATATATATATATATACTTAAACCAGAAATAATTATTATTTTCTCATATAACTATAGTGCAGGAATATTAAAAGAAAAATACATTTTAAAAAATTCGATGAAGTTAATGACCTTTCATATGTTTTTCCAAGGATATTGGCGCGTCAGTGAAGATAACGAACCCAACTGGAATTGGAACTCGGCTCTTCGATTAACAATTCGATTAACAATTCCATTAACAAGTCATTATTCATTACACCGCCAACATATCAAAGCTTACGGCACCTGATATTCCCAAGCGGCTATTTAGGTACTGACCGGACTACACGTTGCTTAACTTCGGTGATCTTACGGGATCCGATGTTTCAACGTGATGCGGCCGTACACCTCACGTTCTCAAGGGACACATCACTTAAAACAAGAAGCGTTAATAATATATGAAGTATGGAACTAGAAAAGAAGATTTTCATCGAATACAAAAGACTGCGAAACTTACCTTCTCTGTACCTTGCAGAATCGACTTTCTCTATAAGTATCTGATCTCTGTCTATATTTCCCAGCTGAGCTATTGTAATTATTTACACTATTTACATTGTTCAGACTCTTGTCCTCATCTTCGTTGCCATATTCATGACATTTCGAGAATTTAATTAAAGCTATTTGTTCCGTTTGGGGGTTGGTTGTTGTAGTTTTATTCTAACTCTTATTTTGGCAGAAACAGTTTTTAATTTGGGTTTATTTGGGTTGATTATCTTTATTTGTTTTTTTCTATCAGTAACTTTATCGGGATTGGTTAGTTTATTTATTTACTTGGATGAATTTAGGTCAATTTATTTTACTTCTATATTTTCTCGTTTCGGTTTTCGATTTTTAAGTAACGTAGTATTTATTTATTTGTTTTTTATTATCAAACCAAACAGAACTATTAAATAAGTGATATAAACAAATTTTTTAAATAAACGACTTCCGGTAAAATAACCGCCATAGTAGACTACCCACAATGCACCACTGACCCGTATATGTATAAATAGCCGAGAAAAATAACAGCACACGTGGCCTGACGATTGCATATAGCATGAAACAGACTGTCGCCTCTAAGTGTTGACTTCTATGTTCACTTTTATATTTACACACGCTCTATCTCTAATATCGAGCACTTTATCCCATAAATATAGCACGCCTTAAGACTATATTTCTTCATATATATATATATATTGTTAACTTCCCAGATTAATTCTGTGGACAAGACAAATTGGTATAAAATGACAATTGAAAAATAATCTTAGTTTTTTCCGTCGCTTTTCGTCTTCCGACTTTTTCAAGGCAAAAATTAAATCGAAATGTTTTTGTTTTTATAGTTACATTAAAAAGTCCAAATATAAAAAAGATAGACGCTTCTGTCTAAGCCTTTTTCTGGTTAATGTAAATTTTCTTTATACTCAGAAATGTTTTTCTTTTTTTTTCCATGTCGACAATACAGTTAAATCACCCACCCCCCCAAAAATAGTTATGAAAAAGTCGGAAGACGAAACGCGTCGGAAAAAATCTAAGATTTTTTTCCAATTGCCATTTTATACCATTTTGTCTTGTCCACAGAATTGATCTGGGAATTTAACTATATTGTCAACATGGAAAAAAATCTCTGAGTATAAAGGAAATTTACATTAACCCGAAAATGGCTTAGACAGAAGCGTCTATCTTTTTAAATTGGGATTTTTTAATGTAACTATAACAATAAAGACATTTGTATTTCATTTTTGCACACAAAATACATCGGAAGACGAAACGCGTCGGCAAAAAAATAAAAGATTTTTTTTTTTTAATTGACATTTTATTATATATATATATATATATATATATATATATATATATATATATATATATATATAAAATGTAAAAGAACGAGGAGTAAAATTTCAGCGTTCAAAACATTCATTTAAAACAGGGATGAATACAAAAGTAGGGCAATAAATATTTATTTATTATGCAGTGTTACATTAGAACATTCACATACCCACTACAAAACTGTACATCTTGTTTCAACGTTAAAAATAACGTTTCTTCCAGTGGGAAATCACGATGTTACTAAATTATTTTATTTTGAATTACAGATAATGAAGCATATCTCCCACTTACGTCTTTGGAAAATTTTCTGTAAAAAAAGTAAAAGTTTAAAAAAATTTTTTTTTTCCCCATAGTCGCTGTTATTTGTCACTTAGCTTTCTTTCTCCATATGTAAATAACGTTGAAACAAGATATACAGTTTTGTAGTGGCTAAGATTCTTATGCGCATATATATATATATATATATATATATATATATATATATATTTAGAAGACATTTTATGTTTAATAAATTGTCGGACCTTGTCCATTTCTTAACATATATATATATATATATATATATATAAAGTATGAATCAATCATGGCCTGATACGTATTGCAAACTGAATTTCTAACTGTAAAGTTTACTGCATAATATTTGATCAACGTGTTTAATAATTCACCATTGAATTAATGGTCTTGACAAAGAAGATGATTAGGTTTTACTTATTGATGCATATATCTACGTTTGCGTACCTGTAGAGGAGCAGGAACGAGCGATGTCATGGTGTCGCCCTTTCTGGGTTGCGTTGATGTTCTTACCGGGGAGCCCGCTTGCACGTACGTATATGTAATCAAGTTTTACTCAGCCATGTTCTTGGCGCTGCTACCAGCTACCAGTCTTTGAAACGGGTTATCGTCTCGATTTGGCACGCTGTATCACATGCCCGACCGTCAACACTTCTTCCTGGATAGCTGAACAAGTAAAAACATGGCTTTCAGCCAAACTTGGCCAAGGTAATTAAATGACTATATAAATATATATAAGCGATGGTAAGGTTATTACTCCTTTGTAAACGTTTCTTTCTATTTGTCTGCTTATCTACCCGTCGGCTGCTTGCATAAGTCAACAGCCAAGGAAACGTTTATATGCGCATGCGCGCATTTCTCAGATTGTGATTGGCTGTTCACATTCGGCTGTATCAACAAGTGCAATACTTGTTGCTACATTAACATTAATGAGGCAGTTTTCCTTCCCTCTCTTTCTTACTTTCATTTTATGTTTATTGCCGTCTATGTAGTTTACACTCATTCTCTTTCTCTTTCTCTCATCCTCTCTCTCTCTCTCTCTCTCTCTCTCTCTTTCAACAGTTCCTTTTGCCTGGCTCATTGATACTATTGACTTGTCGCTTTCTTTTTTTTCCATCTTTTCCTTCCCTGTCGCTTTTTTTTTTCATCATTTTTCTTTCTTTCCTGTCACCACCCTATCTCATTCATCATTTTCTTTCCACTTCTTATTTCTTTCTTTCTTTCTTTCTTTCTTTCTTTCTTTCTTTCTTTGCTCTCTTTATTTATTTCTTGTTCATTTCTTTGTTTTCCCTTTCTTTCTTGTTGATTTATTATTCGATTCTTTCTTTCTTTCTTTCTTTCTTTCGTGTTTGTTTGTTTCTTTCTTGATTGCTTGCTTTTTTTCTTTTTTTTTATTTTTTTGCAAACAAATAATGTCTTTCTTTTCTTTTAATGCTTTTTTCTTTTTTTTTTTTTTTTTTTTGTTTGTTTTTTCTTTCTTTTTGTTTGTTTGTTTCTTTCTTTTTGTTTGTTTGTTTCTTTCTTACTTTCTTGCTTGCCTTCTTTCTTTTTTTTTTGTTTATTTGTTTCTTTCTTTCTTGCTTGGTTTCTTTTTTCTAAATCTGCTTTAGATATATATATACATTTTCTTCTCTCCTATTTTTTACTCAAAACTCTTCATAAAAAATAAATAAATCTCTCTCTCTTTGGTCTTTGTCTCCACCCAAATCATTATTTACCTTTCTATATTCTCCTCACAAAATTTTTTCATTATCTCTATCTCCTTTTTATTTTTCTATGTTCTTTTTCTATCTCTCTATCTCCTTTTTTCTTCTTCTCTATCTCTCTATCTTTTTCTCCCTTTTATATATATCTCTATTGTTCTTTATATTTAATATATATTTTTTAATTTGCTATATCTCCACTGGAATAAGTTTATATCTCGAGAATTTGGCTTTTATACAGACAGAAGGGAAATTCATATATATTTTACTGCTTGTGAATTAGTTTCCCATAAATATAGGCGATCTTAAACCACAATACATGGACACACACACACACACACACATATATATATATATATATATATATATATATATATATATATATATATATATATATATATATTAACCCTCTCCCATTAGAACGAATCGGAATTTCATTCTGACAACGCATTCTTCAGAACTCAGGACCTAATGTTTGCAGTTTACATAAAACTCTAAGTCGTGTTAGTGGTGAGTGATAAAATGTATATTTATTAATATATACTTAATAGCTCTGTTATATTAAACTGAGCACTATTTTATTAACAAAAGAAAGATATGTACGAGATAGATAGATAGATGTGTGTGTGTGTGTGTGTGTGTGTGTGTGTGTGTGTGTGTGTGTGTGTGTGTGTGTAAAGATGTGTTTGGTAATCCGTATAATTTCAAGGATATAATTCAGAGAGCTCAAAGTAAAAACAGAGCAAATATTAATTATATTAAGAAACAGACAACTTTAAAGGTTAATTCCTCAGATAACATCTTCATAAAAAATTATGAAAATTGTATGAAAATGTTGATCTGAGGAATTAGATTCAAATTTCAATTCTAAAGAAATAAATTATAGTCACTATGAAGTCTTAAAGTTGTCTGTTTCGTAATATAATTTATACAGATATATATATATATATATATATATATATAGCAGCTACCAATTTGGAGAGACCGTCATGAATATGAACTCTAATGGAATGCTTATCTGTCGTTGGGATGTCCACTTAAAAGCGTGTACCCACCGGAAATAGAGGTTATCTTAACAAATAAAATCGGATTAAAAGAAATAGAAAAAATAGATAGATAGATAGATGACAATATATAGAAATTTTACCGCCACCACGTTTCATTCCTCAAGGAGCGAAACACGTTGGCATAAAAAAGTTTTTTCTCTTGACTTTTCTTTGATCCATATTATCTTTACAGATATCTCAGATTATCTCATTTATATCTGAATTTGTATACTCACACAAACCCATACACACTCGCTCACACACAAACGCACAGACATACACAGACATATAAGATATACATTGTATATATATATATATATATATATATATATATATATATATATATGTGTGTGTGTGTGTGTGTGTGTGTGTGTGTACGCATATAAACACAAATACGCACACACATATATATGTATATTATCTATTATAGGAGATACAGTGTAATTATACTTCATTTTTTCTCATCTTTTATCTGGATTTATATATATATATATATATCTATATATATATATATATATATAGTTTTAAGTTATGATATATATTATGGGTAAAATGACTAGAATATAACGTGTGCATTTGTTAGAGTGTAAGCTGATGTCAACCCCGTATATGGCGACAGTGTATTTCATGCTTGAACGCAATTTTCAAGCTTGAATATATATATATTGACACTACATTTTAATGAAAACTCTAACATTTTTAGGCATTTAAAACAACATGCCTGCCCGCACACACAATTCCGTAAAATACTTGTCGAAAACACAATTATACTTCGATATGAAAACAATAGACAAAAACTAAAAATCCTTGAAGCATTATACATCAAAAAGTTGAAACCCAACCTAAACAAAATCAATTATGGCATCTCTACAAATATTCTTAAATGTCTATAATTGGTAACAGAAGCCATTGGTTTATACCAACGGCTTTCCTTACTTCATTCTACAATTCACTCTCGTGTAGTCATGTGTGACGTCATGAGATGCGGTGCGATTTTCGCTTCTAGCGTCTTATATGCGCGTGTTTATCGTTGCTTAGTGATCAACTATGTAAACAATGACAGACTATCATCACTGTCGTGTCCGTATATTGTTTAATATGTTTGTGATTTACATCTTTGATAATGGCTTAAGTAAGCCGAAAGCTTAGATTATATTAAAAAATATGGATCAATATTGTGAATTTCTTTCTTCGTTTAATGATAATGTTATCAAACTTATCAGATGTTACGAAAAAAATTTACATAAAATAAATAGACAACACTTGTCTATATTATTTAATGAAACGTGTATGAAAAAATATATATATATATATATATATATATATATATATATATATAGAGAGAGAGAGAGATTTATTTAGAAAGAGAAATTTGAAAATATATATATATATATATATATATATATATATATATATATATATATATATATATATATATATCTGTGTGTGTGTGTTTTAAACTGTCTCGTCACTAAGGGAGTTTTACCTTGTCGCCGGGGCCAGTAGAAAAATGTTCGATCCCAGGGAAAAACCAAGATTTCTTATGCTAATATTCAAAGCAATTGGTTCTTCTTGAATAGAAGAATGGTGTAATACAACCTTATTAATTCTGCTCTGTGGGAATCTTATTCAAAATCTAAAGACTCAATCTTGGTCAATATTCTTCTGGCATTGATTAATCTTTTGCCAAGCCTCTCTCGTAAGGCCATATTTTAAGGCAACGAGTTTGCTTTTAATAAAGACCCAATGTCCATAGGCTCTGACATAGACAAATAAGTTTTCATATGATTTAAATAAATGTTACCAATTTGACATGTCATTTTCAATTTTCCGATTTTTTTATTCTCTCTCTCTCTCTTTCTTCCTTTTCTCTACTTCTTGTCTCTTTTATTCTCTCTCTTTGTCCCTCTTTTCTCTTTATCTTGCTTTTTCTTTTCGCCTTTCTCTTTCTTTCTCTTTTCTCTTCTGGATCTTCTCTCTATTTATCTATCTCCCTCTCACTTCATCTCTCTAGCTTCTTTTTCTATTTCGCCTGCAATTTTTTCATTCTCTATAACACATTTTTCTTTCTTTTCTCATTCTCAGTATCCTCATGCCTCGCTTTGACTTTCGTCTCGGCCATTGCTTTCTTTGTTGTATAACCTTATTTTATCTTTCTCTTTCTATTTCTTTCTTTCTTTCTTTCTTTCTTTCTTTCTTTATTCTCGCCCCTACTGTCCACTTTCCCAACTCCCGTCCTCATCCTTTTATTCATCCTTCTTTTTTTCCCCACCAGACGTCGCTACCAGCATTGGAATAAACCAATCAGAAAGCTCTCCATGCAGCCAAACCTCCCTCTGTAATGGACGCAACAGCTGCGCTGAAAGTGTAAAGATTCGATAGGACTTGGAATCACAAATTCTGCTAAATGAAGACATTTTCCCTTAAGCGACAGGCGTCAAAAGGGAAAGAAGGCATGATGGGATAGCATTTAACAAGCGGGAAAATAAATAGGAGAAAAAAAAAGAAAAAAAAAACGATTGAACAAAAAGAACAGGTATACAGAAGTGGGCGCCACCTACCGTCGCATCGTGGGAGTGAAATCTTCTTATAGACCAATTCGATACTACGATTCTCCGTAAGTGTGTACATGGTAAGAGAGAACAAAATTTAGTTAATAGATATATTAATGGCGTCTAGATGAAGCCAATTTGATACTATAATGTCCTACTTTCAATGGATGTCCTATTACCTGTAGCTTTGTGAGAGACTCCGTGAGGGTTAAGTAATATTTTGTCTGATTAGGTAATTGCTCACTATTTAAATTATTCGGACTATTGTCCTCATCTTTGTCGCCATATTTATTACAACGTTTCGGCCGTTGTAGGCTCCGGCCTTTATCAGTATCTGTCTATATTTCTGAGATGAGGTATTATGTACACTGTTTACATTATTCGGACCATTGTCCTCACCTTTGTTGCCATATTTATTACAACGTTTCGGCCTTCTTCAAGTGGTTGGAATGAACCCTTTATTTCGCTCACTGGAGTAGACTGTTCTAGTTCCACGTGCCATGTTTAATGGATGTCAGATGTCAGTTATCGCCTGTTAATTCCCCTCTCCAAGTTCTCCACCGCCTTAATCAGGTATTTAATTCGCATTCTTTGGGTCCTGTCACTGGATCTAACTAACGCCTTTATCCACTGTGCCATGTGTCCTTGAGGACAAACCTAATAAACCTAATGTCTTCAGCAATCATTTTTTCCAGTGCTCATATTGAAATTTTTGCTGTTATCAATCCATATTTTTCCCAGAGCTCATATTGTAACTTTTTTTTTTTTTGTTATTATCGCTTTTCTCTGGCACTCCTTCTTATCGGTTCCCATATTGTATTCATTTCTATGCTTGGTCGGCTCAGGAGATTTTTGTGGCCTAGCATATGTGCTGATTCCTTAAGTTTACGAATTTTCTAATGTTGTTCTTGGTCTATGATCTTAACTTGATCCCACAGAGGGCAGCGATCTCCCTTCTCTCTATATATGTGGTAAGCCACGCTTGTTTTTTCCACTTGCCCTCATGTTACACCTTTCTGATGTTCTTGAAGCCTTACCTTAAGGGGGCGGCCTGTCTCCCCTTTATATTTCTTTTTTAGGTAATTGCTGCCGGATCCTATTTGAGTATGCCTGCCGACCAGGGCGTTTAGCCAATCCCTGTTTCAGACACCTGCTCAGGCATATTTGTATTTGTTCAACACACACACACACACACAAACCACACAGAGTGGACCTTAGTTACTGTTTCTGTGAGAGAATGCATTAGCTGACTTGATGTACTGCCGGAACAATGCCAGCGCGCTCAAAACCTCGATCACGATGACTTGTGACTTCGTGTGCTAGTACAGCCATCGACAGTACACAAATACTTTTATCTACCCAATTTCACTAACAAGACTTAGGACAACTCGTGATATGATTTTCAGGCCCTCTCAAAAGTTACCGTATGCTGGGTTCCCAGTTTGATAACATAAAGAATTCACTTTCCTGACAATGAATTTTATTATGAAAAGCTTTTCGGCGAACTCTTCAATCTCGTTTTCATTAGAGAAAATTTTCCCCATTTACGGTAATCAGAAAAGATACTAATCGGTTGCTACATGGTCAAGTGCGTTATGAGCGAATTGGGTAGAACAGATCAGCCGAGTTCCCAATTACTGTTATGTGTTATTCTTCTTGGATGCGGCCTGAAGTTCTCATAGATTACAATAGTATTTTTCTTTAATCCACCGTGCGTTATGACCGAGTGGGGTAGAACAGATCAGCCGAGTTCCCAATTACTGTTATGTGTTATTCTTTTTGAATGCGGCCTGAAGTTGTCATAGAGTACAATAGTATTTTCCTTTAATCCACCGTGTACGCTGCCACTGCAAAACTAAGGTACATTAAATTTACTCTCAACTGCCACTACGCAATGACAGTAATTGACAAACAAAGAAACAAAAAAGAGAAAGAATATCATACAATTTATTATTATTACTATTATTATTATTATTATTATTATTATTTCCTTTGATTTATAAACATTTGCTTCCGGGTCCCACCAAGAGACCCAAGGTCAGAAATGACTTCATTACATTTTCCATTAAACATTTTGAAAACAAAAAAGATACCCACCGTTAAGATAACACATATTTTACACAGATAAAGTTCTTCGTAATGTTTAAATATTCTTCTGTAGAACCATTTTTCTATAGAACCATATCACAATCTATGTTTATGTGTTAAGTAGGAAACGAAGAGACAGATTAGAGAGGATTATAGAAGCAAAATATTCTTTTTTCTTTCTATAAATCGCATCTTGGCCCGCCATTGTTTTTTCCTATTTTTGTTTTTTTATAATTAGAAAAATAAAACGATACCTTGTGAAATAGAAGAGAAAGGACGAAAGTTCCTATAATTTACACAAAAATACAATCTGATAATAAAAAATATATATATATATATATATATATATATATATATATGTGTGTGTGTGTGTGTGTGTGTGTGTATGTGTATGTGACAAAATATATTATTTAATTATTTTAATATATTTTCTTTTCATACGTTATTTTCATAGATACACATATTTAAGTATATGCTCTGTTTATAATAAATAGTATGAACGACAATTACCGGCCTGGATGTCCGAGAAAATTCGTAGAAATTGTGTGTCTTCCGTCAGAAACCGAAACTGTATCCTACACAGAATGGTCATTTTCTATATAAATATGAGTGTGTTTAGGAAAATGGAATTTTATCTAACTATATATACCGGGCTGAATATTCGAGAAATCGTGTCAGAAAAATATGCCTCCAGCAGCAGGATTCGAACCTACAACCCCTATGCAGAAGCGTCATTGGATTTAACTCGCCAAACCGCTCGGACATTCGGTCAACCAAACCCCGACTTGTGCATTTTGATTACACACTCTCATATCTGCTTTGTATCGTCGGATCTGATCCATTTTCCGAAAATTAAATTCTCTTTGTTTACGTTAAGACACGAATACAGAGCAGATACGGGTGTTTCCACAATCAGCAAAGAGTGTGTCTTCTAATGTAGTTGGAATAAATACTTTTTAATTAAAGAAAACAGGACTTCTACTTGAATATGAGCATCCACCAAAATAACGTTTAAACAAAATAATTTAAAAATAACTTACACACACACATATATATATATATATATATATATATATATATATATATATATATATATATATATATATATATATATATATATATCAATATCAATTGTTCAACTCTCCCTCTTTTTTTATGTCAAGTTTATTTCGCTACTTCATTTTTTTTTTTATTATTGCTTATTTTTTTAAATGTATGGTTTATTATCAGATTGCCTGGCTTAATTTATATCAATTAATAAAATATAGTCGGTCTGATCAAGCAGGCATATATATATATATATATATATATATATATATATATATATATATATATATATATATATATATATGGGGGTGTACATCTGTTGAAATAAATTTATAACCGATGATGTGATCAATATTTAGCTCTTTTCTATATTGCATATATATATATATATATATATATATATATATATATATATATATATATATACACACAAAAAGACACACACACACACAGACACACACACACAGAGACACACAAACAGACACACGCACATATATATATATATATATATATATATATATATATATATATATATATATATATATATATATATATATATATATATATATATATATATATATACAAACAAAGGAAGAGAAAATAAAACGAGAATTCGATAAACGGTTTCGGTACGTGTGGGGCGGAAGTAAAAGAGAGACAAAAAAAATGTACGAATGAAAATAAACATTAATCATGGAACAAAAGCGTTTTCGTTGTATAACACGCAGATGTGAGAAGGGGGTCTACTTTGAGAGAGAGAGAGAGAGAGAGAGAGAGAGAGAGATAGATGCTCTATGCTTCGTAGCGAAAAAGCGATTTATAGAATCAACACGATGAACTTCAGTCCCTAGATCGGTTCTGGGCGTAGGACCGCCTTGCATCTGAGCACCTTACCAGCTCTCTCCACATATCTAGGTTGAAAACTAGAGAAATAATTTTCTATGCGTAACGTTTTTTTGGTTTAGATCTGACGAAGCCCATTTCTCAAAACATAGCTGATGTTATCAAACTTGAAGACTTGCTTTGGTCACGGACATGTGATCGTTGATTCCACTTGTGAAACCCACCGCCTACTTTATCACTGCCCTGGTTGTATATATAGCAATGGCGCCCTGTTTGACTCATTGTGCCAGATGGCCATTGACTCTACAAGAATATAAAATCACATTGATAATGCTGGAAAGGAGATGCTGCCTTAGAGGAAATGGGGTTTGAACCGAGAAAATGTTTCAAAGAGAATACGGACAGTGTGCAGATAGAAATAAGATTCGAAAATCCAATGTCTACTTTTATTAAAAAATCCTCCGACGATATTAAATGACAAAATGAAAAAATAAAGTGTAATAAAAAACGGAAAACCACCAGAGAATAGACCGATCGAAAACTCAAAGGGCTGTATAAATCTCTGCTTTTTAAGTTGGGTGGAGTCGGATATTCGCTTAAGCCGAATATTAAACTTCAACAAGCACGGCCTTCTATACCCCCAGCCAATTTTTGATCCGTCAGGAGAACGCTAGCCAATCTTGTGTCCAACCAGGTTCCGTATTTTGACCCCCCCCTTACTTTTACCTTCTCTTATTCCCCGCTAAAGCCCAGCCCAACCAAGTTTGGTCTACCGATCTGACCCCAATTACATATCGTGCTGTCATACTAAGTCTCACCCAATTTGGACAGTGACCAATCGCTAACAAGTGGCCTGATGTTGACCTCTCCTCCACTGATATTAAAACACTGTCCACCTGACCAGCTCATACCACCATCTCCTTAGCCGGATAGCACCAACGCCGCTCCTGCTTGAAGTTTCCGTAACTCTTGTAATGGCGGCTCGATCCAGCAAAATCGAGTAATGTTCGCTCAGCACGACGCTAATTTCTAGCTGCTTCAATTGGTTTTCATCGCCAACGGTTGATGAGTCTACAGGGCAATGTTAGAACCGCAGGGCAAGTTCAGCATCCTTTCCAAGCCAATGCAATTTCGCTTCCCCTCTATGCACACAGATACGCATAGATACTTGAAAAATCACATTGATAGATAGATCACAAACAGTTCGGTACATAGACACATCATGAACAGAATTTGATAGATAGATAGATAGATAGATAGATAGATAGATAGATAGATAGATAGATAGATAAGAATAGACTGAGATAGATAGATATAAATAGACTGAGATAGATAGATAGATAGATAGATAGATAGATAGATAAGAATAGACTGAGATAGATAGATATGAATAGACTGAGATAGATAGATAGATAGATAGATAGATAGATAGATAGATAGATAGATAGATAGATATGAATAAACTGACATAGAGGTAAATAGATAGATGAGAAATGGCTGATAGATATGTATGTATAAATAGATAGATAGATAGATAGATAGATAGATAGATAGATAGTGATGAATAAATTGACATAGAGGTGAATAGATAGATGAGAAATGTCTGATAGATATGTATAGTTCGATAGATAGTAAATAGATAGATGGATAATGAAGACACATAGATAGATACATAGATAATGAACAGAATGAGATAGATAACATGGTCTTATATATATTTGACGAATTATACAATATATTATCTCTCGCCCTCTCTCTCTCTTCCAATATATATATATATATATATATATATATTTATTGATTGATTTCTCTTATTCCAAACCCAAGTAATTTTACATTTACTATATGATGAAAAAAATAACATATAAAAAATGATGTTATTCAGTTTGAACACCGCGTCTAACATTTGAGTTTTTGTTCTGTTTTAAGATTTTAAGCTAATAAATTGAGATCTTCTGCGTTTGCTTTAAATAACTGTAACAAAAATTCCTACAATTAAATAAACCGTACTAAATTTCTTGTTCTTTTTTGTGGGAGACTCTCTAGTAAGAATATGTGTGTGCGTGTGTGAGTGTTTATATATATTTAAACTTTAAATTTGTATCAATTTTAACTTGATTAAGTGATCCAATTCTATGTTAATATTCCTTTGATTTCATCTTCTGTGATAACTTTCATCCTCGCTTCGTATGGAAGACGTCTGTAGCCTTGTTCGACAAACTTCCTAGAGATAGTGTTTCGATAAAATCGCCTATCCTCCTGTGCTTGAAGAGGTTAATAGAAGTTGATAGGTTCGGCTATCATCCGATACACACTCCTGTCATATTTATTAAATAGGATTTTAACAGAGTTTTATCCATTGTTTCCTGTTTAGGATATAGTTCACCTGTTCCTTTCTGCCACGGCCTTAATGATTTAATCGGTTTAGCTTTTTATTATTATTATTATTTTCTTTTATTTCTGTTGTATACTCATTTCATTCTGGGCTCCATCCAGAGACCTAATCCCAGAAATTGCATCATGACATTTTCTACTGGCTTTATCCACTGTGCCATGTGTCCTTGAGTTAGATCCAGTGACAGGACCCAAAGAGTGTGAGTTCAATACCCGGTTAAGGCAGTGGAGAACTTTCAGAGGGAAATTAACAGGAGATAACTGATAACTGACATCCATTAGACATGGCACGTGGAACTAGAACAGTCTACCCCATTGAGCAAAATAAAGGGTTCAGTTTGACTTTCCAACCACCTGAAGAAGACCGGAGCGTACAACGGTCGAAACGTTGTAATAAATATGGCGACAAAGATGAGGACAATAGTCCGAATAATATAAATAATGTACATAATACCTCATCTCAGAAATGTAGACAGATTCTTTAAAATTGTTTTTTTTTTCTTTTATTCTCTTGAAACTTAGATAAACCAATTTAAATTCTTCTATCGTTACCAATTACTTTTCTGTTCCAGGCTATCTTTGTCGAAAATGATTCTAGGTTACATATGCATTCCCTTTGTGTTTACATCAGAGAAAATCTTCTATTGGCAACGGAATTCTCTCTTGAATCTCTAGATGAGTCTTTCGTGTGCTTTCGACTTTCGTTATAGCACTCTGTTAGGTATCTCATTTTACTTTATTGCTCTCCTTCTTCTCAAGATTAATATATTAGACAACACATCTGGTAGTATAGAAATCTCACCCTCACTCTCCGCATTGGTGATCTTAATGCTCGTCTCGTCAAATAGCTTAAGACTTACTAATGTTGCCATCTGACTTTCATTTTTTCCGTTGCTCAATCTCTCAGTCAGTGAATTTCCCTACTCGTCTTGGTAATAATTCTGATCAACGTGCTTCCTTAATTGATATATCCCTTACCGCCTCTCATTGATCTTGTCGACCATCACAACTCTGTCCTCTTGGCAACTCGGATCACGCTGTCGTATCTGCTGATATTACTTTTGTGTCGTCTATTAGACAGGAACCTCCTATTCACAGCACTTCTTTTTGTTACCAGTATGCTGATTGGGATTCATTTTTTGACTTTCTTTATGATGCCCGTTGGCCATAACCTTCCTATTGAGAATTGTGTCACAGGGGTTTCTTTTTGATTAAAACTGGCATTGATTATTTTGTGCATTCTCGGAAATACTAGATGCTGCCACAATCTTCTTGGGTCACTCCAGCCTGTTAAACCTCCGCTAGACGATAGGAATCGTTTTTTCGGCCCTAACGACGTGATAGTTCAGGTTACAACAGGCACCTTTTTGTGCGTGCTAGTAATAACTTTAAACGTGTCCCCCAAACAGCTGAGAATTTGTTTGATGAAATAATGATGGCATCTTACAACCTCTAACAAATAAATCGTCTATCCCTCCTCTCTTCACTCAATTTGAGGTGTTAACATACTGTACTGATAAAGCAAAATCTTTTGCTTGAAGATCTCTTAAAATTATGCTCTTGACTCATCTGGAGTATCATTGCCTGACTTTCTACTTAGAACTGAGTCTCTATTGGGTGATATGAATATAACTCTATTATAGATAAATATGAACAGACTGAGATAGATAGATAAATAGATACATAGATTTAAAACGACTGAATAGATAGATAGATAGATAGATAGATAGATAGATAGATAGATAGATCCTGTCATTTTATCGTACTTTCTCCTCTTTAATGTATTCAATTTCACACAATGTAACCCCTTGATTTGTGTGAAATTGTTAAAAAAATAGATAGATAGATAGATAGATAGATAGATAGATCCATTTGAACAAAAATAAATGATTGACAGGCACCGTTAAAGCGAAGGTAACTAGGTATGCTGTAGAAAAATTTCGGACTTGATCAGTTGCAAGATAAAGGAAAAACTATTACTGATAAGCGCTAACATTTAAAGACTATATATTGTACACATTTTAAAATGTTTGTGGATTATTCATAATTAATTTTATTGATGTTTGCTTTCAATTTTTTTATATAAATAGCTTTGAGAAATTTTTCGTTTGTATTTATTCTTTGCGTAGAAAAGTATGGATATATATATATATATATATATATATATATATATCGTCAGCAGTTTATATTATTTATTTAGCATGTGGTCGTCTCATCAACATTCATTCAATATGCTTTTCATCATTTTTTTAGAAGGATTGGAAAACAAAAAAAAAGGATTATTTTTTTCTTTGATATTTTCACCGTATCGAATGTTTATCTATCAAGCGTAAAAAGTACGCGTGCGTGAATCTGCGCATGTGCAAACGGGACAACGTTTTTTAAAAAAAATGTATATCCTGTGAAATATAGGCAATCTCGGATAGTAAATGAAATGACGTGGTTGGCGTTCATAGCGGAGCAGTTTTCATGTGATTGACCCGGTGTTCACTGGGAAGAAGGTGAAAAAGAAATACAAAAAAAAAAAAAATAAATAAATAACGACTGGGTGCAGAAATCGAGAAAGACGCAAAAATAAAGTGAATACAAAATAATGAAAAAGAAATCGGGATTTGTCTAGAGAGTGAGATTTTAGGATAGGTCTGTACGCATGCGTGAATCAGATAGCCAGTTCCACGCCCATCATCTTAGTCAGTTGGTGAGAATGCAATAAACAGAGTGAAATCTTATCGGCTTATTGCATTTAACTAGAACCAAGCAACGACATACGCAAATCCAATCTTTTTGCCGTTTACATAATGTAGACATGTGTAAGCAAGCGAAAACCAGAAAACAGCCCGTTGCATAGATATGCCCTGTTGTGCAGACTTTGTGTTTATGCCGCTGAGAAGTTTCGAATTGGTGTCCGGTGCCAAAAGCGGTTATATGACAAGAAGCAAAAAAATAAATCTGTGAAAAATCTTCGATTTCTTGAAACCACAAATTATTTTCTTGTGGCATTTATATCCAGAGTTTACAGCTTACAAAATGCAAGATTGTCGAATTTGAAACAAGGGAATATTACAATTGCATATTTATACATTGACTAAAGAAATAAGGAGTTAATAAATGTCATTTATAATCTGCTATTTTATTGGATACATGTGTTTGAGAAGGCATCTTTGTTTTAAACAGTTTAAATTTACGCCTATACAAGCGAGGCAGTAAAGCAACTAAGTCAAAGGAAGGGATTATTGAGTTTGAAAGAATTAGAAAAAGAAAACCATTAGATAACGATTGACATTGCATTTAAATTTTTGAAGATCAAATGCAATAAAGCCACTAGGATGCAAGAGGGTACTGAGTGTTAGAGAATATGAGAAAAAACTACTTTTAAGGAGAGAGGACAATAAAAGAATAAGAATTAAGAAGACAGAAGATAACAACTGACATTGCATTTACATTTTTGAAGATCAAAGGCAATAAAGCCACTAGGATGCAAGAGGTTACTGAGTGTTAGCGTTTATGAGAAAAACTACTATTAAGGTGAGAGGACAATAAAAGAATAAGAATTAAGAAAACAGAAAATGACAATTGACATTGCATTTAAATTTTTGAAGATCAAAAGCAATAAAGCCACTCGGATGCAAGGGGTTACTGCGTGTTAGAGAATATGAGAAAAACTACTATTAAGGAGAGAGGACAATAAAATTATAAGAATTAAGAAGACAGAAGCTAACGATTGACATTTCTTTTAAATTTTGAAGATCAACGTTAACTGATAAACAAGAAGTCGGTACAGATTTCCATGTTTGCATAAAACTTACTATTACATCTAATTATATCAACTGTAAAAGGATGAGACCTTACCGCCAATCTAGTACTGCGCTTAAATTAAAAAAATCAAGGTACCATAGCGAAAAGTTCATCAGAACAATTACCATAAAAGTATTTCTAAAAAAGACACAGGGAAGCTACATTAAGGTGATGAGAATTCATTGTAAATATGGAAATATTAGGTTTTCATTGACCAAATACTCAGTGTTACTTTCAATTGAAATTTATTAAATATTTTGATTAAAAGAACTTTTCAATAAAACAGGTTTCGCTTGTCCAATGTTATCACACTTTTCAATATTGATAGGGGGGGGGAGGGTTTCCTTCCTAATCTTTTCTTTGAAGTTGCTTGGGACGTCAACATCTTGATTATTCATTATTTTCTCTTCAAGTTATACGTGATATGCATTTTAGTTGTTGCCGCTTCTGGAAGTTTTCAAGTGCTACAGTCTTTGTTATTTGGTAATTTTTTTCAGGAATACCGTATATATTTG